AGTCGCGGGAACATGCTCGGCTTCTACCTGGAGTCACGTTATGAACTGTACAGTACACTTCCCTTTTATAGTAACCAAGCGGGGAATAGGGAAACTTACCCTTCTTCTCAACTCAATCCCCACTTAGTCCCTTCAGTGAGTTTGAGGAGCTGAGGACAGGGTCTAGCACCTAACCACCCAGAACACTGCACACACCTAGGCCTGAGGTCGGGCTGTCCCTGATCGAGGACCGAGCCCTGACAGTAGGATTGTTTAATTTGGATCTTAACTTGAATTAAATCTTTTACTTGGTGAATTTTCAAAGATTCTACTCAGTTAATGGGTTGAGTGTCAAAAACCCGGATCATAGGGGGTAAATGCATGAGTCCGAATGCAGGTGGGGCCCAACTAGAGGGGGAATCCGAGAGCTCCGGTGGTGGACCGAAGCTTCTCCAGGAAGCCCAGTTCTGCTGGATGGTACAAGAGGCTCTAAGAAGGACACGGCCTCAGTGACTCAGAGGGAGCGCTGTGCCTCCGTTACGTCTCAGTTAGTCCTTGTATTTCTTATGTCTGAGGTATCTTGTAGAATGGAACGGGATTCACTCAGAGGGACTTTGGGTAGCATTTTAGTCGAGATTAGAACTGAGGAACTACAGGTTCTAATCTACGGGTATTTATAAAGAGGAGTGGAAAGGACTTAGTCAAAGTCCGAATGACAATGGGGCAACAACGAAAGGTGCTGAATGATACCGAGAGGTACCGAAAGGTCCCGAATGATATCTTAAACAGGGAACCGAGGTGTCGGACCAAGGAGGGCGGAGTTGGAGGCCAGAAAATGAATGGGAATGAGAAATGGGTAAGGGGGGGGTTAGCCGACTGAATGGTAGGAAGAAGGTAGTCATGCTAAGAATGGAAGGTGACTAATAAGTGATAACGTGAGTGAGATCACCGAAGGATGCGGGTAGCTCCGAAAGCAGAGTTGCGTATCCGAAGGATATTAGGTGACTCAAATAAATGAAATGGGTGGAGGAATGTTTTAAGGGTATGTCACGGGATGTCGGAGGTCCGTCGGGATATCGGAGCAGATCCGGAGTCTCCGAATGTTCCGACTCGGGACCAAGCTTCCAGGATGGGAGTGGCCAAGGTTCGGTGTGCCGCCACCAGACCGGAGCTGAGACAGTCAGGAGGGAAGGTGACTTGAGGAGTGGGGAGGCGTGGTGTAGGGGATGGTGAAGTTGTTAGGAAGGTGTGATGTGGTGGGAGTGCATGGGGTCGGGATTCCAGGATATGACATTGAGATTGTGTCTGAAGTGTCCCTTGAGTTTGTTTTATTTTTGTCTTATTTTATTGCTTGTTTTAACAGTAGCAAATAACTGTTTTGTGTTTACACTTTGAAATCTGGAGTGTTAACCAGCTCTCCTGTTGAAATATTCACTTAATATTTCTCTCCCTAATTGCTGCCTTTTACTACAGTGGCAATCTTAACTGTATATCACTTTTTCATGCTGGAGTGACAACCAGAAATGCTTGAGAAAGATAATACTCTATTTTCTTACTTCTCTGAGGGGTGTTATAAAAATGGGGCCTAATTGGCCCATTTCTATAGCGTCCGGGTGCAGGAGGGGGCCGTGACATTGAGAAGATGTTACAATTAATGTAACAGATGTTGTAACAGTGGGGTTTACAATAACATGGACATCAGGTGTTTTGGGTGATAGTAGTTGGTTAGGTTCTTAATATTTACATGTCACGTGATATTATACTGCATAGAGCCCATAAGAGGCTAAAAATGGGAAAATCCCATTTCCATAACAAGGGGGGGCGAAAAGTCGCAGAAAGGGTCTCCCTTTTATACTCCTTGGGTTGCCTTCCTTTTTCACGCTCTACCTCATATTTACAGGATTTATTTACAGTGTATTTTCCTCAAACTGAATAAAAATGAAATTTTCATGCTATAGTTCTACTATGGTCAGACTGCACCTAGAATCCTTATTGTCCTTCCTCGCCTAAGCTATTTTAATGGTTCAATTAGAACTTGACTGTGCTGCATTTGTCACAGTTTTCTATTTCAAATTCCTCATATTTACCATTAAGTTCGCTATGACTCAGTCATTCTGAATTCAAACTTCGCATTACTATGTGTATGGCTGCACTGAGACCTTCAGCTGATTTATTCTATTTTTATCCAGTAACATTTAGTTGAAATGAGACTTGAAATGATAAATGAGTGAATTATTCAGGTTTAGAACCGAAAGAACAGTTGCTAGTAGTAAAGAATTGTTCAAATGAATGTGTTATAGCTCTCCGCTTCATTAGAATATCGTTCCCTAAAATTCCTGCCATGGTCCATCGTAGTTTAGTAGTTTTCATGGATTTCATCCTTCTCCCTTGATTCCCCCTTGTATTATTGCATCCTAGTCCTTCGTATGTATTGTTCGTTGTTATAATAGGTCGTCCTCAAAGATATCATATTTTTATGTATTTTATTTGGGGCTCTGGACCTCTAGAAGCTGTCTTCCTGTGCGTTTTCAGGTTTCAAACTTCATGTCCTTGTATCTCATTCATTTCTGAATGGTTTTTCACGTTCTCGGCATCATAAATTTTCATTTATTCCCACCTTTCCAATGGTACTAAAGTTATATTCTATTTCTTGGTATTCGTAGAGTTAGCAAAAGTTTGCGTGCACATTCAGTAATCACATGCATTGTTCCCATAGTCATTCGTATGCGGACACCATTTCTGTTTAATTGTTTGGGATTTATGGTATGTGCAGGTGTTTGTATCCTCAATATGGGCTCCCATGATTTATTTCAGATTTTTCCCTCATGTTTGTCAGAGACCAGATCAAGATGAAGGGATGTCTCCATGGCAGAGGGCTTCGGCCTCAGCGACTTATGCCAGGAGCGCTGTGCCATGTTATAAAAATGGGGCCTAATTGGCCCATTTCTATAGCGTCTGGGTGCAGGAGAAGGCCGTGACATTGAGAGAGTGTTACAGTTAATGTAACAGAAGTTATAACAGTGGAGTTTACAATAACATGGACAGGAGTGTTTTTGAGTAGTAATTGTTAGTTAGGTTGTTACTATTTACATGTCACGTGATATTATAGTACACAGGGCCCATAAGAGGCTAGAAATGGGAAATTCCCATTTCCATAACATGCCAAGTTACACATCTGTGCCCTAACTTACTGTCAGGTCACGGTCCATGTATGTAGGGGGTCACGTGACCTAGGGAGGTCACTATCGTCCTACCCACTGTGAATCATACATATTTGATACTCACAGCTGGGTTCTAGGACACCCACCTTACACTTTTTTGAGTACTTTTTGTCTGATATCACACTGATCCCTGGCATCACTAGGAACCACCACAATTTTATGTGGAAAACAAGTGAGTTCAAACTTTCATTCAAATTCCACTTGCCACTCTGGCAAGCAAAAGACCCTTGCAACTAGCAAGGAGACAAAACCCCCAGTCAATAAGACTGGGAAACAGGTGAAAGTAATGCCAGCACAACCCCCTATGTGCCAGGCAGAGCTGTCACCTGGAGCAGGAGAACCTCGCTTTCATGAGGGTGCGCAAATTCAGTCATCAGAAGACCCTTGCTTTCGCAAGGAGATGACTTCTCCTGCACTTCACCCAACTCAGTTGGGTACAAAGGCTTTGTGTGATGCCTCCCAGTTGTGCAGGGAGCCAAATCCAAGCCAAACTTACGTGGCAAAACCTGCCATGTCATCATTTATGCCCAGGCTCCTCCACCCAGGCCTCAAAGCATTACTCCTCCCATTCTATGTGATGGGAAGGCATCAGAAGCAACCAAACGATTGCTCCTGCTCACACAGGGAGCTGTTTGGAGCTCCAGAAAATGTGGAAAAATCGTCCACATCTTCAGATTCGTCTCACATCACCTGCGCGACATCCAGCTTGCAATATTGCAGCAAGCTGGTTCACTCCCAAGTCTATTTGACTGGGAGTTACACAAAACCATCAAATGATCACTCCCACTGGCACAGGGAGCTGTTTTTGATTCCAAAAAATGTGGGAAAATCTTCCACATCTCCAGCATCGTCTCGCATTAACCACGAGATGTCCAGATTGCAATATAGCAGCAATCTGGTTCACTCCCCAGTCTATACGACTGGGAGTTGTCATGAACAACCAAATGACCATTCCTGCTTTTGCAGGGAGCCGTTTGGAGTTCCAAAAAATGTGGAGAAATCGTCCACATCTATGGAATCGTCTTGCATCAGCCGCGAAACATCCAGCTTGCGATATAGCAGCAAGCCGGCTCACTCCCCAGTCTATGCGACTGGTAGTTGTACAAATCGATCAAACAACAGCTCCTGCCAGCACAGGGAGCCATTAGTGATCGCAAAAAATGTGGAAAAAACTTCCACAGTGTCTACATCGTCTCACAGTAACTGTGAGACGTCCAGCTCGCAAAATGTTGTAACTCAGGTTATGGCACCTCTGAGATGAACTGTAATGTTTATACAAGAGTAGAAACAGATAAGTACAGGAGAGACTTGCCTGAGATGAACTGTAATGTTTATACAAGAGTAGAAACAAATAGAGTTCATCTCTGCAGTCATGTAACACATAAAAAGAAAAGAAAAGGAAATCAAACAAGAGGTAGATGTACTACAACACAAAATTGCAGCATGCTGGTTCAATCCCCAGTCTATGTGACTGGGAATTGTGCAAAACAATCAAACAACAACTCCTGCTTGTGCAGGGAGCCGTTTTTGATTGCAAAAAATGTGGGAAAAATCTCCACATCGTCGTTACCATCTCGCAGCCATAGTGAGACATCCAGCTCGCTGCCTAGGTGCAAGCCGGTTCAAACCCCAGTCTACAAGACTGGGAATCATCCAAAACACTCATGGAATGACCCCCGCTTGCACAGGGAGCCAGTCCTGAGCGAAAGAAATGTGGAAGGAATTTCCACATTGCGGTCATCATCTCACAACTGCAGTGAGACTAGCGCTTCATCCAGGAATGAGCGCATCCACTCTAACATGGACAAAGAGTCCATGTCACCCAAATTGACACATAAACCCGCATCGATTTCGCCTCTATCCAAGGCACTTCTGGACTTTGTCCAGTTCCCACCTGAATGGAGGGTGGGGAGTACAGAACAGATAATCGCCAGACTAGAAGTCTGGGAATCGATAAGGAAGACCAAGGCACACAGTCAGTGCCTTGGGAACCCCAGATCTGGGGGACAACCATCGTTGCATGGACTTAACATGTGTGATATTTCTTATCCTTCTTTGGATATGTGGGAGCAGAGATTCTCCCAGAATATGGTGGAACGGCACCACATTGGGCCACAGGATGACCACCCACACTCAGGGCCAGGTTCATCAGGTGGTGGGAGGTGGTCTAGCCAATTACCCTCTGGGAAATCGCCAAGGAGACTCTCCCAGAATATGGTGGAACAGCACCACATTGGGCCACAGGATGACCACCTGCATTTAGGGCCAGGTTCATCTGGTGGTCTTGCCAATTACCCTCTGGGAAGTCACCAAGGGGACCTTCCCAAAATATGGTGGAACGGCACCACATCAGGCCACAAGATAACCACCCAGAATTGGGGCCAGGTTCATCAGGTGGTGGGAGGTGGTCTAGCCAATTACCCCCCGGGAAGTCACCCATTGCCGAAGCAATGCCAACACTGGTTTTTCCTCTGGAAAAACCTCATGGTCTATCCATGAGAGACAGAGATCACACTCTCTGTAACCTACTCTTGGGGAAAAATCCCCGAAAATTTTCAACTTTTTCCCTTTCATCATGTCACAACCAACAAATCCTGGGGCTCCGTCAGCGGCGAATCAATGCCGATAGGCGAATCCGCCGACCCGAAACCCAATCTGACCAGCCCCCAATCCGATGTCTGGCCCCCTGCCCTATCAACCATCCGGACCTCCACCCGCATCTGTACCTCTGCCCACCTCCACACCCTCTGGACCTCTGCCACTCCTGGTTGCCCTCCACACCCTGTGGTCAGGCCAACACTCCCCTCCGACCTTTCTGGCCATCATGCTGCCCTTGTTTGTGACGGCACTGATGGACCACCCTCTGTTGCGGACTTGTCAGCACCGTGCTGATTTCCATGTCCCTTCACGGACCTGTGTCGGCACTGCACCGACCCCGCTTATTTGCGGACTTGTATCGGCGCTGCGCGCTGACCTCCGCTTTTCTCTGGCCATCTTGTCACTCGGCAGCATACCATTCATTCCTTGCCGAGTGCCTATATTGTTCATCCATTCATTCGCTTAACTTGCCAATATTGGCACTTGATCTGCTTTTGTTTAGTTCATTGCCTCCCATTTCCCAGGCTCTTGTCCTTCATTCAGTTTGACAATCCCCGCTTATTTCCGCGCCGGACTGTGCCGGACTGACCGGTCCTTCTGTGTTTCCCTCCTGCCTATTTATATCCTGTAAATACTTTCGGGGACCTTAGTCTGAAATCAACTAGAGTACCCCCCCTGTCTGGTCTGAGTCTCTCCTTCTGCAAAGGGGGCTTCCCCCCCTCTGAGTCCATGCTCGTGGAGTCTGCGCTCCTCCTACAGGTCCGCTCCACCCACAAGTCTTGTTTGAAGTCCGCTGTGAGTGTCAGTCTGTAAATACGGGATCTCCCCCAAACGTCAAGCTCAGGGCACAGCGCTCCACCTGAGTCGCTGAGGCCACGATCCCACTCTGCTAACCTTGAACAGCACTTCCGGACGCACCGCATATTTCCGCCCGCATATCCGCGCGCGCGCTCCAACAGACCTCTGCATCACCTCCGACCTCAACTCAGACAGAACTCAATCCGTCTTCTATCCGTCTCTGACGATACTTCCGACTCTGACAATAATCTCCAGACTCTGACACATTGTCAGAGATCTCGGATGCTGTCAGAAGACGGACTGGAGATGGACTGAAGACGGAATGGGTTTCTGTCTGAGTCGAGGTCGGAGGTGATGCAGAGGTCTGTTGGAGCGCGCGTGCGGATATGCGGGCGGAAATGTGCAGTGCGTCCGGAAGCGCTGTTCAAGGTTAGCAGAGTGGGATCACGGCCTCAGCGACTCAGGTGGAGCGCTGTGCTCTGAGCTTGATGTTTGGGGGAGATCCCATATTTACGGATTGACACTCACAGCGGACTTCAAACAAGACTTGCGGGCGGAGCGGACCTGTAGGAGGAGCGCGGACTCCGCGAGCACGGACTCAGAGGGGGGGAAGCCCCCTTTGCAGAAGGAGAGACTCAGACCAGACAGGGGGGGTACTCTAGTTGATTTCAGACTGAGGTCCCCAAAAGTATTTACAAGGTATATAAATAGGCAAGAGGGAATATAGAAAGGCCGGTCAGTCCGGCATGGTCCGGTGCGGAGATAAGCGGGGATTGTCAAACTAAATAAGGACAAGAGCCCGGGAACTGGAAAGGAGGAACAGATCACTAAACAATAAGTGGCAAGGGTTATTGATGAATAACTGAATGAGATCAATAACCTAGTGCCAATAAAGAGGGGATCAAATGCCGATATTGGCAGGGAAGCAAACAATAAATGGCACTCGGCAAGGAATGAATGATAAGCTGCCAAGTGACAAATGGCCAGAGGAAAAGCGGAGGTCAGCGCGCGGCGCCGATACAAGTCCGCAAATAAGCGGGGTCGGTGCGGTGCCGACACAAGTCCGCGAACAGAAGTTGATCTGCCAGCACTGTCACACAAGGACAGCATGAAGGCCAACAGAGGTACAGAGGGGAGTGGGAGTGTTGACCTGACCAGAGGTGTCAAGGGCAACCAGAAGTGGCCAGAAGGTGCAGAGATGGGCAGAGGGTGCGGAGTGGGCAGAGGGTGCGGAGTGGACGGAAGTGGGGCATGGCTGTGACCACATAGCGGGAAGCGATGAGTGTGGTTCAGATGGAGACAAGGCAGGCGTGACTGAATGCTGGGAGCGCCAAGGGCTCAGGAACTGGAGGTAAGGTCGGAATACCGGCAGGGTCTAGGTTCTGATTCTTGGCCAAGTCTCACGCAGTAAGGCAGGGGGCCAGACATGGGGTTGGGGGCTGGTTAGGATGGGTTTTGGGTCGGCGGATTCGCCTATCAGCATTGGTTCGCTGCTGACGGAGCCCCCGGGATTTGTCGGTCATGACAAGCTGTGAGTATCAAATATGTATGATTCACAGTGGGTAGGACGATAGTGACCTCCCTGGGTCACATGACCCCCTACATACATGGACCGTGACCTGACACTCTCCCCCTTGCGTTGCTTGTCAGCGCACACAAAGAGAAAGAGGGAAAGGGTACAGGGAAAGAGAGAAAAGAAAAAACAATCTTTTCCATGACAATTTTATGTGGTAATTTACGAAATGGAGAAAGTAGAAAGTAAAAAAGGAGTGTATTGGTAAGTGAGTGAAATGTTATGTGTATTGTTAAGAAAGTTTAAATAATAGAATGGAGGCTAGAATAAATGAATGTTAGTTACCTCCGCAAATTTTGCGGGGTTCTCCCCCCTAGACTGGTGTCTAGGTGATTAAATAAAATAATGAGTAAAAATCCTTTGCCCTCAGGTAAAGGGTTCTCCCCCCTAGACAGATGTCTAGGTTTAAAAAATGTGGTCTGGCCATATAAGGGTATGGCCAGAGGAATGATTGGCCTTGTGAGACCTGGCATCGCTCCACCTGCTTCCTGATCTAGGAAGCGGTTTTACCCAGTATTGGGTAAGGTCACATCATCTGGAAGTCAGATGATGAATTTAACCTCCCTTGGGGGTGGTTTATCTGTTGGCTGGACAGGTGGATCACTATGGGTTTCCCCATAGTGAGTAGATGGTATAGTGGTATCCCTTTCAGATGATGTGTGTCATGACCGACAAATCCTGGGGCTCCGTCAGCGGCGAACCAATGCTGATAGGCGAATCCACCGACCCGAAACCCATCCTAACCAGCCCCCAACCCCATGTCTGGCCCCCTGCCTTACTGCGTGAGACTTGGCCAAGAATCAGAACCTAGACCCTGCCGGTATTCCGACCTTACCTCCAGTTCCTGAGCCCTTGGCGCTCCCGGCATTCAGTCATGCCTGCCTTGTCTCCATCTGAACCACACTCATCGCTTCCCGCTATGTGGTCACAGCCATGCCCCGCTTCCGTCCACTCCGCACCCTCTGCCCACTCCGCACCCTCTGCCCATCTCTGCACCTTCTGGCCACTTCTGGTTGCCCTTGACACCTCTGGTCAGGTCAACACTCCCACTCCCCTCTGTACCTCTGTTGGCCTTCATGCTGTCCTTGTGTGACAGTGCTGGCAGATCAACTTCTGTTCGCGGACTTGTGTCGGCACCGCACCGACCCCGCTTATTTGCGGACTTGTATCGGCGCCGCGCGCTGACCTCCGCTTTTCCTCTGGCCATTTGTCACTTGGCAGCTTATCATTCATTCCTTGCCGAGTGCCATTTATTGTTTGCTTCCCTGCCAATATCGGCATTTGATCCCCTCTTTATTGGCACTAGGTTATTGATCTCATTCAGTTATTCATCAATAACCCTTGCCACTTATTGTTTAGTGATCTGTTCCTCCTTTCCAGTTCCCGGGCTCTTGTCCTTATTTAGTTTGACAATCCCCGCTTATCTCCACGCCGGACCACGCCGGACTGACCGGCCTTTCTATATTCCCTCTTGCCTATTTATATACCTTGTAAATACTTTTGGGGACCTGAGTCTGAAATCAACTAGAGTACCCCCCCTATCTGTTCTGAGTCTCTCCTTCTGCAAAGGGGGCTTCCCCCCCTCTGAGTCCGTGCTCGCGGAGTCCATGCTCCTCCTATAGGCCCGCTCTGCCCGCAAGTCTTGTTTGAAGTCCGCTGTGAGTGTCAATCCATAAATACGGGATCTCCCCCAAACGTCAAGCTCAGGGCACAGCGCTCCACCTGAGTCGCTGAGGCCGCGATCCCACTCTGCTAACCTTGAACAGCACTTCCGGACGCGCCGCATATTTCCGCCCACATATCCACGCGCGCACTCCAACAGACCTCTGCATCACCTCCGACCCCGACTCAGACAGAAACCCATTCCATCTTCAGTCCGTCTTTTGACAGTCTGCCCGACTCTGACAATATTCCTCACTCCAACAATATTCCCAGTCTCTGACAGCAATCCAGTCTCTGACACAGCTGGGTTCTAGGACACCCACCTTACACTTACTTACTGGCAGCAAGTGTCATATCCATCCACGGCCATCAACTCCCACTACCTCTGATCTCTCCGGACTACCTCCACTCCTTCTTCACTAACCTCGGAGCTCCCATATTCCGCAATCACCTCGGTATCCCTTGATGGTCACCACCACCTCTTTTCAATTTATTACCTACGCCTCCCTAAGTACGGAGCCCCGAAGGCTTCCAGACAGCTCCAACATCCACTAGCACTGTAGGAGAAATAATATTCAAAGAATAAAACAATGATCTATCAGAATAGTCAACGAACAGGTGACAAGTTCAGACGTTTAACAGATCTCATGATCTTTATGAGACTGGACAGACATTAGAAGATCATTATAAATTATCTACACCCATGTAGCATGAGATTTAATCTACTACAAGCATGCCTAGAACCTGGCATAGGTGTAATATTCAAAGAATATATCCCTACAACAAGAAAATAGCACATAGACGGCAGAATAAGAAGGAACATTGGGAAAGAAATGTGAATATCTCGGGAACCAGTAAACTTTTGACTGTGATCTTTTTACCATCTGAAAGAACTGTTTCTTAACTTTATCCACGGTTTTGTTTCATTCTAAAAGCTTCAAAACTGACGGAGATATTGCTCAAACGGCGAAACACCTTATAATTCATATATATTTATTTGCTAATTCTTACAAAAAGTAATGTGACTCAAGGGAAATATATTGGCGCCCAGAAGTCTGGCGGACCAAATACCATATGACAGAGTATTCCCTGGCGCGGGCGGACAGTTATGGGGTTAGCGGAATGGTAGGTGATAACCCAGAAACAGAAAGGAGGGATAGGCCTGAAGGTGGGCTTGCAGGGCAAGCGAGTGTATTGCCCAGCGGAGGTGGGAGTGCGCTAGCGGATGTTGGAGCTGTCCGGAAGCCTTCAGGGCTCCATACTTAGGGGGCGTAGGTAATAAATTGAAAAGAGGTGGTGGTGACCATCGAGGGATACAGAGGTGATTGCGGAATACAGGAGCTCTGAGGTTAGTGAAGAAGGAGCGGAGGTAGTCCGGAGAGATCGGAGGTAGTGGAAGTCGATGGCTGTGGATGGATATGACAATGTTCTAAGGTGTTTTTGTACTTTCCATGCTTTGTTTTGACTGGGGTCTTCCTTATTTGGACAGAAATTGGTCTTTGTGATCTGCCAGAGTGCGGATCTCGGTTCCGATGGCCGGTTCCTTTCGCATTGCCACCCTCATGTGTCTTTAAGCATGATGCAGATTTCTATATTCCCGTTGTTGGCGTAACTTCACATTGGCTGAAACTTTGCATAACTATAGTTTCCTATATATCATAATTTCCGTGTAAATTTCGTTGTGTGTTTTAAATATGGATCCTTCATGAATGTCGTCTTTTCCCTGAGCCATGACTTTGATGTTGCTCATCCCATTATTGAATATCTCATTGATGCGTGAACCTTTTATTATGAAAATTGGGGTGAATTAAGATTAGATCCCTTCCTTTCTAATGGGCTATCAAGCTCGTCTCGGTCGTTACTGCTTGTTCTTTGCGCTTGCCTTTTAAACGTTGTCCTTGTTTTGGTCATATCTTCGTTGTTTATGGATAGTTTTCCCTGTAATTACTTTCATTGGGTTCATTTGAGAAACATCTACATTTCCTATTATAAACACAACTTATTGGTTCCTAAGGAATCCTTGTTCCATGGTACTTCCATCCTCGGCTATGTGTGTGGGCGTGGGAAGGTAGTTTCCGTGGAGGTTCTCTGATTGGTTTTATAGTCAAATCTTGCCCGATTGTCCTAGTTCCTTGTTTAATATTTGCTATAAATTTTCCCAAGCATTCCGTCTTGTTGGTGCTAAGGTCGAAGTATTTTTATTAATTTTCTTTTTTCTGATTTATCATATGTAGTCGTAAAAATTCGTAAGAATTCAGGTTCTTCTATTTTCTGATATGTATTTGACGTATGAGGTTTTTCGTGGTTTATCTGACATATTTCCATAATGAGTTTCCATAGGGTGACTGTTATTTCTCCTACAGCAGTAATGTGGGTTTTTGGCTTGGTGTCATATCCATACAATCCCGACCTCCGCTCCGGGCTCCCGGAACTCCGAACTCCGACTTCCGGAGCCCTACTTCCCCTCCATCACCTTCTCCTTGCCGACTCCCAAGAGGTTATCCCACCTCCGGCTCCAACACCACCTTCGGTCCAACTCCGGAACATTCTGGGTCCGACCCCAACCTCGACACCTTCCAGACGAGTACGCAACACCTATGTCCCCGACTCCGGACCTCCGCTCCGGAATCCCATTGGCATCTCCGTCTCCGGAACCTCCGGTCTTAGCTCCGACCTCGGACTTTGACCCCACCTCCGCTTATACCCATTGTATTGGTTAGCTCATTCCATTTAATTACCTTTGCCAATATTCCGGAGTTTAACCTCCGAGTTCGGACTTTCCGGACTTACTCTGGACCTTGCAACTATTGCATTGTCCATTTCAATTCCGCTATTCTCCCTCATTCCTATTTGGGCTGCTGCTTCCTTCTATTCAGTCAGCTAGCCATTCCCGACTCCCATCCTCCTTCCTTCCTCCTTGGGCCTTGGCCCTTCATTCCTCCTTTGGGAAACACCATTGAGTCAAACACTTGACCCTTGGTGTTGTTCCTCTTTCCATCTCCCTTTGTCTCCTTTTGTCCTACCCTTGTTCCTTTTGATTCCGGACCCCTCCTTATATACAATGTACCTAGTAACTTGTAACCTCAGTCCGAAATCGACTTGAATTCCCCCCAAGAGACTTTCCCTCTGCTAGATCCGAAATTAGGGACCCCTAGGACAACCAGCAATGGCACAGCGCTCCGCCTGAGTCACTGAGGCCAAGGTCCTTCCATGCTAAGTCTCCGATTCCATTCCGGAGTCGTCCGAATCCCCGCGTTCTAACACTTGGAGTGCTTGGAGGCATTGGAGTTTCCTTCCAGGAGGAAGAGGTAAGAGGGGGCAACCTGACCCCAGATGGTAATGTAGACTTTCGGCTCTTTCGGCTGCTGACAGAGTGTGTTGCTGTGGAACGAGTGCCAGTTGGTGTCAAGGCCACTTCTGTGGGCTGCTGGATGGCAGGAGTGCTTAGACGTTTTAGTGCATCGAGTGAACAGTCTGGATCAGATGCAGAGGTGTGTGGTTGGATTGTCACCTGAATTGCAGGCATACTGATAGACTGAGGCATTTTGAGAAACGCATCCAGGAGCTCCATCCTCAACTGAGACCATCCTTCGTTGGCCTCAATACTTTTTGGTGCGATGATCTCGATTGGTGCCTTGTGGCCTTCATAATCAATCAATGCGAAGTTGTAGTACCCAAGATGATCTAAGATGGATGTCTTTCTAAAGGTAAGTTTCGAAGTCTAATACCACACAAAGAACTGCACACCAAGGCACAAATTTTCCACATGCAAGTGTGCACCTCAAGCAATGGAGCCAAGAGGTGTTCCTTAACCATGCGTGCCATCTCCTTAGTGAAAACCTCCCATGGAACAAATTTTTCAATTGTTGCCACATCCCATTCTTCCCCCTTGGGCAAGTTCCCTGCATCGTCATAAGTAGATGTGTTCAGAATGTGATTGATTACTCACCATTCGTCTTCCAAGCTATGTAGAAGTCAAGAATAAAGGGTTCACTTACATTTCCACCAAAAACTTCCATTTCTTTGTCATCCCATTGATATACTCCACGGCTTGCTTGGACATACGTTTTAAAGATGTCCTCTGCAGTGTCCCTTGATTTCACATACATTAGCTCTGCGAATGCAGGTGAGTTATTTCCAATCTGTCAGTGATAATCAGACACACACTTACCATTCTCCCTCTTATCCTTGCCACTCAATTTCAATGTGTTGTGCAAGAACATGGGTGCACGAGGTGTGATGTTCGATTAGGTTTGTCACAACTGTATTGTCACTGCTCAATTGTATGTGTGACCTTGGACTTCTATATTCTGATCAAGCGGCACCTATCATTGTTAGTCTCAACTTCCTCATATATGCTCATTCTTCAGTAGATAACCCCCAGCTTTGACTCAATAACTACCCCCCACCCATGCCTTGTAGTAAGCATGAAAAGTTTGCCATTGAAGCTGTGTAACATGTCTCACAAGTTTGCTTCATAGCAACAGATGGCGAAAGGTCACAAGTGTAAGGTAGTCATGACTAACTGGGGAACAGACTCCCTGGCCCTTTCTCGGAATGGTCTATTGGCATGCAAAAAGGCTTGGGTTACAATGGGTGCAGCTTGTCAATGATTGTTGGGAAGCATGTTTGGCATTACTTTTCACTTATGTTTGGCTCATGACCTACACAGATATCCCAAAAGAAGTTGTTGAGTGTTAGAACTGGGCGAGGGTGGACGATTCCGGAGGGGAACCAGAGACTTAGCAAGGAGGGACCTTGGCCTCAGCGACTCAAGCGGAGCGCTGTGCCATTTCTGTTTGTCCATTTGGTCCTTAATTTCATAGGTGGCGAGCAGGAAGTCTCTAGGGGGCATTTCAGGTCGATTTCAGACTAAGGGCCTAAAACGAGTATGTACAAGTGCCGATATATAATGGAGAGGGCGAAAGCACAAGGGAAACAAAGGGGGTCCGAATCAGAATGAAGGCATCCAAATGGGAACAAAGGGATGACAGAAGCGGAGCAGTACTGAAGGTCATAGGGCAGAACCTGTGGTACATCCAAAAGGAGGTAAGGAGGGCAAAGCCCAGAGGGGCAGGAGGGTGAGGTGAAGTGGGGATGATGACTAACTGGCTAGAATGGGAAGAAGCAGCAGTCCAAATAGGGATGAGGGGAAAACGTGAAAGATGCATTACAAGTGGCGAAAGTGCCGAAGATGATCTGTGGAGCTCGGAGGTTGTGGAGCTTACAGAGGTTACAGAGGCAGGGTTGAAAGTCCGAGGAATATTGGCAATGGTGTTTACGTAGTATGAGGTCACCAATGCAATGGACTAAAGCTGAGGTGGAGTCAAAGTCTGAGGTCAGAGCTATGATGGAATCTCGGAGCGAAGGTACGAGCGGTGCCCGAGTATGGGGTACGGGACAGCAGTGGAAGGTCATAACTTGGTGGAGGGTCAGCAGAAGAGGGCCAGAGGGAAGAGAGAGGAGAGAGGAAAGGGGAGATGAGTGGAGGAGAGGAAAGGTGTCAGGTCCGAAGGTGAGTATCGGAGCGGATGGGAGAAGGGTAGGAGAGTGACGGAAGGGTGGAGGTGTGTCAGGGGACGACTCCCGGGTCCCCATGACCCTCCCCTATGGCCCACAGCCTCAGGTCTGGCCAGCCCTATCCAGGGCACAATCTACTGTGGGTAAGGAGATGAATAGATAAAGGCAATGTAGAATACACTTGCCTGCTATGGGTAAGGAGATGAGAAGGAAGCTAACTTCTCATCTTCCCACAGTGGCCACAATATCAGCAAAACTTCCGGGGATACCCGGAAGTCACATGAAGGGGTAGGAACCGGGCCCAGAGCATGCGGCGCGCAGAGCATGTGCGCATGCGGGAAGCACGGCGGGTGGAAGCGGGTCCGGATGCGGGTCTGGGTCCGGGCTAGTCAGGGTGTGTGCCCTGACAAGGTGTCGTGAGGAGGAGTAGGAGGAGTGAGTGGAGTGATGTTTGGTCCAAGATGAGTATCGGAGCGAATGGAGGTAGGGTAGGAGAAGGATGAAAGAGTGGAGGTGGCATGAGGGGTGAGAGGAGGTGTGGTGTCAGGCGCGGCGTCAGGACCGAAGGTGAATATTGGAACGGACGGTGGTAGGGTAGGACTCTGGAGGTGAAGATGGAGGTCCGGGAGTCGGTTTGGGATCGGGTATGCATGGATATGACATTGAGGGCCTTTCGGAGATGCGAGATGATGGGGTGGCACCGGAGGATTTAGACCGTTGGGAGGATGAGCCGGGGAGGGATGATTTAAACTTACTTGACGATGTGGGGCTTGACTATGAACAGCTACTTAGCCTGGTGGCGAAGCTAGCTCCAAAGCTGTAAGCCCTCCACTTGAGCCTGTTTTTATTGTTAGACTTGAGGTTCTTTCTGTCCAGGCGAAAGAAGGGTCATGAATGGAGTACACAAATGACGAGGCTCCATACCTGATGGATTGAACAACTGGACACTCTCACTGAGCTTTACTTACACACCAAGACGACCAATCCATCTTGCGCACCATTGCATTACCCAGATCGCTTGGAAGGCAGCAGCTGGATTGAGATCCTGTGCATCAACATCTTTGGTGAGTTTTTTCTATGGTTCTACAGGTGGCCCATCCTGATTTTAGCATGCGGATGGCTGTTCAATCGAGTATATCCCTTGGGATGGGATAGAAAACCGTGCACATGCACTCTTACATGTGGGGTATCTTCCTTCAACACCAACAGAACCCAAAATTGCGTTTTCCCTACGAACACTTGAGCTACTCCACTCGCTCTTCCATGCAGCACCAAATTTCAGTATGCAAAATCTTTCTCGATTGCTTGCTGATATGCACAAGGGATGCATATTATGTTTATACTCTGTGGCCCATCATTTGCTGATTCAAAACATTAGACCATATTCCAGCCTCACTTACAAACTCAAATTTCACTCACCTTCGAGGTCTTCTACTGCATTCTGTCCCAATTATGTGCTATGGTCCATCAGAAGCTGCAACACGACACACCGGATTACCGGCTCAAGAATTCGTGCCCTGCTTGCCATCACAGAGTAAGTACCTTGGGACTCATCATAGATAGTATTGCGATGATGTTATTTGCCAGGTTGAGAATGAGCCAGAGCTTCCAATCCAATTTATTGTGACTGGTGATGGGAATACATCTCTATCACGACTTCGTCATCACTTTGAGGGGGATGTGCATGTGTTTGTCAGTGATTACTACATCACTTGGGAAGATGTAGATCGGTTCACTAGCGCTCAAAAGCATTCACAACAGGGTGCTTCGAGTCAAATAAGTGTATCCTTTACAGCTCCTATATTCTACAATGCCCACTGACTTTGGATTCATCAATATCGGATGCTTGCCTTGCTTGGAAGAATGTGCGACTGTCAGGGCAACCACACCTGACCATACAACCCCAGAACCACCTTCCCTAACCTCCCCCCACTTCCCTCATCCTCCCATCTTTCACAACTACAGCCCGCATGCGAACCCGTGGGAAAAATCACGTGGGTCAAGGCGAGCAACTCGCCTTAACCCATGTGACACCTTTTCCGCATCGCGGGAACATGCTCGGCTTCTACCCATAGTCACGCTACGAACTGTACAGTACATTTCCTTTTATAGCAGCCAAGCGGGGAATAGGGAAACTTACCCTTCTTCTCAACTCAATCCCCGCTTAGGCAAGTTGTAGCTACCTTCCATAATACATGACAACTCAATCCCCGCTTAGTGAGTTTGAGGAGCTTGGGATAGGATCCAGCTCCTGGCTGCCTGGGACACCGCGAGTGTCCAGCTTTGAGGTAGGGCCGCCCCCGGACGGAGGCCGGGCCCTGACAGCAGAAGAAGGGTTCAACCTACTTCCACACCCCCTGATGTCGCTAGAAGAACAGATACTAGAGCTGACCCGCCAGCTCCAAGACCTCCAGACCCAGCTGGCTACCCAAAGGCAGCCTGCCCCCCCCCCTGCTGCTGCTGCTGCTCCGACTCGCAAGCCACCCAAAGTAGCTACCCCCACTCCCTTCTCCGGGTCGCAAGATGACCTGGACCGCTTCAAGGCAGAATGCGGGCTCTACATGAGCATGCGCCATGCCGAGTTCCCAGATGAACACAGCCAAGTTCTGTTCGTCCTGTCGTACATGAAGGGAGGTGCTGCTGGCCCATGGGCTACCCAGCGCATCAACTCCCTCCTTGCCCCTGGTTCCCCAAGGATCGCTTTCGATGACTTCGCCCAAGAACTAGACTCCATGTTTGCTGACCCCAACCGCCAGGCCACAGCTCGGCAGAAGCTGGCCTCACTTCGGCAAGGCAGCGAGTCGGTGGACAAACTGATCCAGCAGTTTGAACTCCACGGACCTGTGTCACGGATGGGAGATGTTGCCCTTGTGGACCGTTTTGAGCAGGCCCTCCACCCACGCCTCCGAGAGAGCATCTACCGCCCCCGCCCGATGCCTGCAACCTGGGCTGAATGGAAGCGTGAGGCCTCCGTCCTCGACAACCAGTGGCGACGTTTCCAAGCCACCCAGCCTCGCACCATCGCAGCAAAACCCTCCCCATTCCTCTCTCGCTCCACCCCTCCCCTGGCACCGTCCACCACTGCTCCTGCTGCAACCCCAAAGCCAGACCCTCAGGCAATGGATCTGGACCGCACACGCTCCCCCCGCACTGAGCAGAGACGCAGTGGGCTCTGTTTCAACTGTAACCAACCGGGGCACATAGCCCGCAACTGCCCAAGGCCGAGACCTCGCCAGATCTGTGGGGCCTTCCAAGAAGAAAGCCCCAGAACCCCATCCCGGCTGGCCCCAGAGGACCTTCGAGCGATCATTGACTCGCTGAGAGGCCATCACGCAGTGGAGGCCCCTCCCCCAGAACCAGAGGAAGCGGAAGAAGATCCAACAGGGGATTTTCTAGAGGGCGACCGGTGAAGAGTGTGCCCCGGTTGCGTGATGAGAGCAATGTACCCACCTGTAAATACCGCAGCCGCCCCAGACGGGCCATGCAATCTAAGCTGCTCCGGGTAATTGCAAAAAAGAGAAAAGCCACACCAAGAAAGCCAGAAGGGGGTGAACCCCCGTGCAAGGTTGCCGTCCCAGCCCCTGCAATTTACGTCCTGTCTAAGCACTCCCCCCGCTCGCTCAACCTCTCAGTGGAACTGACGTCCACCACTTCACTCTGCTCAGTCACCACCTCTGCTCTACTGGACTCAGGGGCCACTGGAATGTTTATCGGACGCGACTTCGTCCAGAAGCACAACCTAGAGACTTCGCCTCTAGTGCAACCGGTCCCCGTCCATAACGTGGACGGAACCCTGAACGAGAATGGATCCATCACAGAGGAGGTAGAAGTGCTCCTCCGATTCGGCCGACACACGGAGCGGGCCCGGTTTGCAGTTGCTAACCTGGGCCGCCAGACAGTGATAATTGGCCATTCATGGCTCCTCCACCACAACCCAGAAGTAGACTGGGTCAAGCAGAGGGTCACCCTGTCCCGGTGTCCACCAGCCTGCTATGGCCGGAACCCAGTGCTGAAGCAGGGAACCCAGGGGGAACCCGACTTCGCCCTCGAACCCGGAGATGGAGTCTATGCGGCCATGATCCCACCAGAGTGGGGCCATGAGCTCCGAGCCACATCCACCCCCTCTCAGCGAATGGCCCAGGATGCACAGGAAGGCCCCCCGGTAGAACGCCCCTTTGAGGAACTGGTGCCAGAGCACTACCGAGACTTCCAGGATGTATTCTCCAAGGAAGCTTTCAACGAACTCCCCCCCCGGAAGCCTTGGGACCATGCCATCGACCTCGCCCCAGACACCAAGCTCCCCCGAGGGAGGACGTTCCCACTCTCACCAGCGGAGCAGAAAGAGCTGGATGCCTTCCTCAGGGAGAACCTCGCAAACGGGCGGATCAGACCATCTAAGTCCCCGACAGGGGCCCCTGTGTTCTTTGTGAAGAAAAAGGATGGGTCCCTGAGGTTAGTCCAAGACTACCGCAAGCTGAACGAGGTCACGGTTAAAAACTCCTACCCACTCCCCCTGATATCCGACGTCCTCACCCGCCTCCGGGGCGCTAAGTGGTTCTCAACCCTAGACCTACGATGGGGGTTTAACAATGTCCGGATCAAGGAGGGGGATGAGTGGAAGGCGGCCTTTGCCACCAACCGAGGGCTGTTTGAGCCTACAGTGATGTTCTTCGGCCTCTGCAACTCCCCTGCCACCTTCCAGACAATGATGAATGACATCCTGCGGGAGTTCATCGACCGAGGGGATGTCATCTGCTACATGGATGACATCCTAGTCTTCTCCCCCACTCTTGAAGAGCACCGGAAGGCCGTGCGAGAGGTTCTGGCCACCCTGAAGAGGCGGAAGCTCTTCCTCAAGCCTGAGAAGTGCAGGTTCGAGAAGAACACCATCGACTACCTGGGCCTTGTCATCTCTGAAGGTCACGTTGCGATGGACCCAGTGAAGGTGAAGGGAGTAACTGACTGGCCGGTCCCCACGAAGGTCAAGGAGGTTCAATCCTTCTTAGGCTTCGTCAACTTCTACCGCCGCTTTATCCGGGACTTCTCAGAAAAGGCAAAGCCCCTTCACCGACTCACCCGGAAGACCCAGCGTTGGGCCTGGGGCCTAGTAGAACAGACTGCCTTTGAGGACCTGAAGCGAGCAGTCACATCGGCCCCGGTGCTCACCTTCCCCTCCAACACTGCCCCATTCCGCCTAGAGTGCGACGCCTCCAACTTTGCGACAGGGGCAGTCCTCTCACAGCTTCAGTCGGATGGAGACTACCACCCGGTGGCCTTCATGTCTAAGAGCTTCTCGGAGGTAGAAAGGAACTACGAGATCTATGACAAGGAGATGCTCGCCATAATACGAGCACTTGAGGAATGGCGCCACTTCCTAGAAGGGGCCCCAGAGAAGTTTGCCATCTTCACGGACCACAAAAACCTCTCATACTTCCGAACGGCCCAGAGGTTGAACCGGCGACAAGCACGCTGGTCCCTCTACCTCTCCCGCTTCGACTTCGTGCTAACCCATCGCCCAGGGAAGCTCATGGGGAAGCCGGACGCTCTGTCGTGCAGAGCAGACCACCCCCGAGGAGAAGGGGACAATACAGGCGTAACCCTACTGCACCCGGAGTGGTTTGAAGTCCGGGTGACAGAGGGGGTGTCGATGGGAGGAGAGGAGACGGACATGTTGAAGAGGATCCGAGAAGGGAAGGAACATGATGAGGCAGTGGTGAAGGCCTTAAGAGAACTAGGAAAAGGTTCTCTGCGCCCGGACGAATGGGATAGAGATGGGGACTTGATCCTTTACCGGGGGCGAGTATATGTCCCCAGGGACCCTCAGCTCCGCCACGACCTGGTGAAGTTGCACCATGACTCGGTCCCAGCAGGACACCCAGGCAGATGGAAGACTCTGGAACTGATCTCCCGGAACTACTGGTGGCCGGGACTGTCACGATACATAGCTAGTTATGTCTCAGGCTGCGACACCTGCCAACGGGCAAAATCCTTCCCCTCCCGGAAGGTCGGGAAGCTCATCCCAAACAAAGTGCCCTCCCACCGATGGCAGATAATCTCGGTGGACACCATAGGCGAGCTCCCAGAGTCAAAGGGCTACAATGCGATCCTGGTGGTAGTAGACCGCCTCTCCAAGAGGATCCATGCTGTTCCTACCGTCACCACAGTGGACTCTGCAGGCATAGCCCGGCTGTTCCTGGAACACGTCTGGCGGCACCATGGCCTTCCGGAGGAGATCCTGAGTGACCGAGGCACAGCCTTTGTGTCCAAATTCTCCAGCGAGCTGGCAGCACTCCTAGGGATCAAGCTCACCCCATCCACCCCATACCACCCGCAGACGGATGGGCAGACAGAACGCGTGAACCAAGAGATCGAAGCCTACCTCCGCGTCTTTGTCAACCACCAGCAGGACGATTGGACTGACTGGCTCCCACTAGCTGAGTTTGCATACAACAACCGGGTCCACTCAGCCACCCGCCGGACCCCATTTGAGCTTGACTCAGGACAACACCCCCGGATGGGGACTGAGCCAACCCGCTCCTCTGATGTCGAAGCAGCAGATGCCTTTGCCTCCCGGATGATGAAAATGCAGGAAGAGGCAAAGGCAGCACTAGAGCACGCAGCAGACGAGATGGCCCGGTACTATGACAGGAACCGGAAGGCTGCCCCAGAGTACAAAGAAGGGCAGAAGGTCTGGCTCAGCTCCCGAAACTACACAACCGACCGACCAACTAAGAAGCTGGACCACAAATGGATTGGCCCCTTCCGCATCACCAAGGTGGTGTCCCCAGCAGCCGTGAAGCTGCAGCTCCCCACCCAGCTGAAGGGCGTCCACCCTGTAGTCTCGGTCACCAACTTCCGCCCCTACCTCCCAGATGAGATCGCCGAGCGCACAGCAGACCCCCACCCCGGCCCAGAAGTTATTGATGGAGAAGAAGAATACGAAGTAGAAAAGATCCTAAACTCCAAGTACAGGTACGGAAAACTCTGGTATTTTGTTAAATTCTTGGGCTGGCCAAACTCGGAAAATGAATGGCTCCCCCACAAAAACTTAGAGCACTCTCAAGAGCTCATAGAAGAGTTCCATCGATCCCACCCCGATGCCCCGAGACAAGAAAGGTCCAATAGAACCCGCCAGCCAAGACACCCAGCCGCTCCGAGGCGAAGCGGCATAGAGGGGGGGTGATGTCAGGGCAACCACACCTGACCATACAACCCCAGAACCACCTTCCCTAACCTCCCCCCACTTCCCTCATCCTCCCATCTTTCACAACTACAGCCCGCATGCGAACCCGTGGGAAAAATCACGTGGGTCAAGGCGAGCAACTCGCCTTAACCCATGTGACACCTTTTCCGCATCACGGGAACATGCTCGGCTTCTACCCATAGTCACGCTACGAACTGTACAGTACATTTCCTTTTATAGCAGCCAAGCGGGGAATAGGGAAACTTACCCTTCTTCTCAACTCAATCCCCGCTTAGGCAAGTTGTAGCTACCTTCCATAATACATGACAACTCAATCCCCGCTTAGTGAGTTTGAGGAGCTTGGGATAGGATCCAGCTCCTGGCTGCCTGGGACACTGCGAGTGTCCAGCTTTGAGGTAGGGCCGCCCCCGGACGGAGGCCGGGCCCTGACAGCGACCAATGCCATCAAAATCGAAAGCTGGGGCTCTGCAAGTTATGGATGAAACTGGAATCTTTTCAGTTGTTTGTCGGCACGGAATTGTCCAATTCCTTCTTGACATGGTTCAAAGTGGAGAGTTGTACGTTGCTACCCCTGATGTTTGTGTTACAACTGATACCTGTCAGAGCAAAATATCCTCTGGCTTCTGCTGAGAAGCTCATACACACATTCGGCAAGGGCATCTTGTTTGCTTACAATATTGGGTGTACATTCTCTGCAACTTTATCGAAGTTGCCCATTGGGGATTTGGTCAAAGAAGCCAATTTCAGGTGTTGCACCAGTTCTTTTCATGGTGCCGCTCACCACAGGGCCTGCCAGCTGGACTTTCTTATTAGTTTACAGAAAGGTGCTGGCATAGAAGATGGCGAGGGGAATGAATGGGTTTATTCAGAAAGCAATGCTCTTGCAGCCATCATTCATCATGCTTCTCCATACTACCGTCACCTTCGCATTCATATCCACTTCTCCAAATGGGATGAAACCAAGTATGAAAAGCTAGGTGAGCCTCCCTATCTTGAATATGCCCTGTGGGTTCAACTGCATTGATAGGCGATTTTCTCCTGAGTAACTTCAAATCTGCTCAGAGGATCATTGCTGACAGCAAGAAAGAGCTTGAGGATATGAAGCAATTGTCCCCAGACTTCGAACCTGACTGGGACTGTCCACAGTGGCTAGCTGTCATATCCATCCCCGGCCATCGACTTCCGATCCCTCTGATCCCTCCGATCCCTCCGGTCTACCCCCGCTCCTTCTTCACTAACCTCGGAGCTCCTGTATTCCGCAATCCCCTTGGTACCCCTTGATGGTCACCACCCCCTCCTTTCAATTTATTACCTACGCTTCCCTAAGTACGGAGTCCCAAAGGCTTCCGGACAGCTCCAACATCCGCTAGCGCACCCCTGCCTCCGCTGGGCAATACACTTGCTTGCCCTGCAAAGCCCACCTTCGGGCCTATCCCTCCTTTCCATTTCTGGGTTATCACCTACCTTTCCGTTAACCCCGTAACCTGACTCGTCGGTAATATCTGATCAGCTAATGTCTAACCCCATTAGCTCCGCTCCGCTTGGCTCTGCCATTTGCGGGCCCGCCCTCATTGTAACTATATATATACTCAACTTGTACATAGGTTACACCTCAGTAATAAAATCGACTAGAGTTTACCCCCTTCAGTTCTGGTTGCCAGTTTAGTAAGTTAGGGCACGGATGTGTTACTTGGCACAGCGCTCCTGGCATAAGTCGCTGAGGCCGAAGCCCTCCACCACGGAGACATCCCCTCGTCTCAACCTGGTCTCTGACAGTATTTTATTACTCCCTGACTAGTACACGTCTTGTATGGCACCAAAAGCCCCTCGCACTCGTTCGCAACTATGCACATTAGTTCCAAACTCTGCCTCACCGTCCCCAGAACCTTCACAGCCTGGTCCTAGTCGATTGGCGAGAAACCCAGTTGAGTTTCGAAGCTTTTCTAATCTTGAAACCCCTCTCCCATCGACTCTGATCATGCATCCCATTAGGAATCGATCACCAGTTGCAGATTCCGACTTCGGAGACACCACGGAACAACCCATAGACCCCGTTCACTTCTTTGGACTCAGTTCTGAGGTCCCTGACTTTGTCGACCCTCCTCCTGCTGATCCTCCCATCCCCACTGTCCCAACCACCGACGACGCCGAACCCACCTCCAACGTGGCTATTGCACAATTAGCCCAAGCCATTGCCAGCTTGGCTCGTCACACCGGATGTTGTTGTGGGGACAACTCCGTGTACCGCAAAAAGTCGGATTCTGCGGAATTTGGTCACCAACACACAGTACATATCCGCTGACGCTCCCGATACTCATTCTATCACTATCCAACACTCCATACACTCACTCCATATTTTTCCTTATTTTCCCCATCATTCCCGACAACCCCAAGCAAAATTCCCACGCCCAACCACACCGTCAATTTCACCCCCTCTCCAGATCTCCATAACCACACATACAACCCAGCCGTTTTTCTACCCGATAGTGATGCTCTACCACCCTTCTTTACCCCCGGAGCATTTCCCAGAATGGCAATCCCATACCTGGATGGTTCAGCACGGAGTATAGTCTCACGTGGTCTTGACAGCACCTGTCAATGGCCACATCTCAAGAACCACTGCACCAATTGGGACGAATAAGGGCTCGTTGGAAAGCTGGAGACGAGGAGGTTGCTGACGGGAGGATAGGCGGGCGCTGTGGCGAACTGTTGCGGAATTAATTTTCACAATTTCCATTTCGGACCCGTTATCATATATTCCCAATTCATTCATATTTCTTTTATTGTTTCTTTGTTCCCAATTGGATATTCATCATTTACGGTTGCCTAACGGCCCGTTTACATTCCCCCAGTCCATTCATTCCATTTCAAACATATATAAACTAGATAACAGCTTGTACATAACAAGTAAGTATTGAATAGACCCGTGAAGGGACAAGCAGAAGTTGCATCCAAGTGGCAAAGATGCCATCCACGACCCTAACGCCCCCTCTGAGCTAGTTGCTCACGTCTAAGACCCCTCACATCATAATACTCAGCCTTGATGTCCAAGAGAGATGTAGGTGAGTGTTTGTTTGTGGTTTTTGCAGACTCGGTAGCGCCCCAGGACCAAAACCCAGCCCCACGAACCACACCCACGCACAATACCACCCTCCCCCTTCTCTCTGTCTCGAGTCTAGGCGATAGACCCGTTACAACATCCACCACCTCCACCATCCTCTGCTCTCCGGACCAAGGTCCATGAGCCCGAACAGTTCGATGGGAAAGATCCCTGAGAACTCCGAGTATTTCTGGTCCAATGCGAACTCAATTTCCAGGACCGTCCCCTTGCTTTTGCTAGCGACCGCACTAAGGTCATCTTTGCGCAGTCCTACCTCAAGGGAATGGCCCTCGATTGGTTCGAGCCGGATCTATTATTCAACCAAAATTCTACGCTTCATCTGCAATGGATGAATAATGACCCTGGACATGAAGGATGGACACCACATCAATAAATATGTCGTCGAGTTCAACCGACATGCCTCTCAACTTCATGGCTACAGAGAAACCGCGCTCCGTCGTTTTTTCTATAACGGATTGCCGGAACGTATCAAGGACGATATTGCCAGAGTAGGTAAACCTTCTACTCTTTCGGAACTTCGCACCTTGTCGCAAACTCTCGATGCGTGCTATTGGGAGCGTAAATCCGAAGTTACACGTCATGCGAAACCTTCCTCCTCTAACGTTTTCGACAAGTCCACCGCCACTTCTCATTCCGACCCCGACCCCGACCCTTCCTCCTCCTCTTTCAACTCTGCTTCCGGTAGCAAGCCTCCAAAGGACAATAAGAAGTCCGAGGCCAGCTCCGCTAAACCGGACCTTTCATCTAAACTCGGAGACAACGGCCCACAAGAGCATAAGCGTCGTCTCGATGAGAAACTTTGTATGTTCTGCGGTCAGTCTGGCCACATGGTCAAGGACTGTCCCAAGTCTTCTTCTCATGCGTCTAAGGCCCGTTCGGCCCAGACCGAGGAGCAAGGATCCGCTTCTGCAGAAGCAAAAAATTAGTCCGCACCCCCATGGACTCTGCACGGACCGGGGGTTGCGATTCTTCCCTCCATGCGCTCAAAGAAGTACGTTTAAACACGTCTTCCATCTCTGACTTATCCTCCCTCCATATTCCCATTTCTTTTTCTCTTTCAAATGGTCTATTTTCTCCTCTCAATGTTGACCCTTCGGTTAATGTTCTACCTGTTGTAGATAGTGTTGCTGATGTACCACTCTCTCCTCCGCCCCCTCTGACTACTTCCGTAGATCGATCCACCTCTCTCCATTTCTCTTCTTTCTCTTCTCCTGTTCCTTCTCCTCCGTCCAATGATAGGACACACAATAAACTTTTCCGCTCCTATGAGAACGTACCTGCACTCATAGACTCTGGGCCTTCAGACTGCTTCACCGACGACACATTCGTAAAGAAGTTGGCCTTGAAGACATATCAGATTAAACCCCTACAACTATGCCTATTCGATGGTAGCACCAACTCAATCATAACTTGTGCTGTTGATATTCCCCTCCGCTTCGCTTCCGGAAACATCACCCCCACGACTTTCTTTGTCACATCGCTGGATGGATCATGTTCCCTAGTCCTAGGACACAACTGGCTTACCCGCTACAATCCGTTGATTGACTGGGTCTCAAGCAGTATTACATTCTGAACTTCTGAACCTACCAAGACAGTTACTCCGAGCTCTCCCCCGTCGTCTCCAGCACCACTGCCGTCGTCCGACATCCAACCATCTGATGTTTCGCCAGCACCTCAGTCACAGGCTCCCACTCCTCCATTACCATCTATCGAGTTTGTCAGCCGTTCCGCATTCGCGAAGGCTTGTCAACTTAAAGGATCGGTATCCTTCAGCCTAACCATCCCTTCCAAGGACAGCCGCTTAAGGGCTGCCTCATCCCACACCGATTCCGTTGACCTCTCGGCCGTTCCGAAGGAGTATCACGAGTTTGCGGATGTGTTCAGTAAGAGCAAAGCCTCGACGCTGGCACCACACCATGAGCATGACCTGAAGATCGACCTTGAGGAAGGCACTTCACCACCCTTGGGTACTATGTACTCTCTCTCTACTTCGGAACTTGAGGCCCTCCAGGCATTCTTAGATGAACACCTAGCCTCCGGGTTCATTCATCCCGCTACTTCCGCTCATGCAGCACCGGTCCTCTTCGTCTGCAAGAAGGACAGATCCCTCCATCTTTGCGTTGACTTCCGAGGGCTGAACAAGATCACCAAAAAGGATCGCTACCCACTCCCCTGCATCTCCGACCTCCTTGATGCACCTAGCTGTGCCACAGTCTACACCAGACTCGACCTCCGGCATGCTTACCACCTGGTTCGCATTGCAGCAGGCGATGAATGGAAGACTTCCTTCCGCACACGCTATGGTTCCTATGAATGGCTCGTTATGCCATTCGGTCTCACAAATGCACCCGTGGCCTTCCAGCGATTCATCAACACGATCTTTGCTGACCTCTTGGACGTTTCTGTGGTAGTCTACTTAGACGACATCCTTACCTACTCGGAAGACATGGCTTCACATCAGGAGCATGTCCGAGAAGTTCTTAGGAGACTCTGCAAACACGGCCTATACGCCAACCTGAAGAAATGCAAATTTCATACAGACACTACAGAATATCTCGGATACTGCCTCTCTCCCTCCGGACTCACCATGTCCATCGAGAAGGTCAAAGCCATCCAAGATTGGCCCGAGCCCCATAAAGTCAAGGATGTCCAATCCTTCCTTGGCTTCGCTAACTTCTATCGGTGTTTCATCCACCATTACTCCGACATTGTGGTTCCCTTGACGCACCTTATGCATAAAGGAGCCCCCTGGTTATCCTCTGATGACTGTCGCTCTGCTTTCAACACCTTGAAAGAAGCCTTCACTTCTGCTCCTATCCTGACACATTGGCTACGCGACGCCCCCCTCATTGTAGAAACCAACGCCTCCGATTACACAATCTCTGGAATCCTGTCCATCTGCT